CACCATTAGCATATTAGCCCCAAGCTGGGCAGCTTTGCATCATGGGACACACAATCTACTCCAGGGGTTTATTATCAAGCACCTAACAATGAGTTAGAATTTTGTTTTGGTTTGTTTGAGACAGGGTCTCATGTAGCTCAAGTTGCGTTCATTCTGGTTATGGGGCTGAGACTGACCTTGAGCTCATGGTCCTCCTGCCTCTACCCCCCCAGTGCAGGGATCACAGGTGTTTGTATGCCAGGTCCAAAATAGTAAATTAAAAGTATGGCATTTGATTTAATATGGCATTTGGTTTTCTCAATTATTCAAGGCTTTAAGCTTCAGACATGGGGAAAAAAACACCAAGATTTGAGTCTTTCACAGTTTACAGTTCTTGGTAATCATCAACTTCATAGTTTGCCTTCACCCCGTGGAATCCACCAGTTTCTAGTCTGGTGCACATAAGTACACACACATAAACACACGTACAAGCCCTAGTTACTTTTCTTATTGTTGTGACCAAATACTAGACACAAATAACTTAAGGAAGAAAAGGGGGAAGTCTGTTTTGGCCACAGTTTGAAAGACTACAGTCCATTATGGTGGGGAAGACATGGTGGAGGACTTGGACAGAGGCCGCTGGAATATTCTGCGTTTGACTCTTCACTGGCACAAAAAGGAAACACAGAGAACCAGGGCCAGAACCAGGCCTGGCTATAAACCATTAAAACCTGCCCCTAGTGATCTACTTCTTTCAGCTAGCCCCACCTCTTAAAGGTTTAAACCTTCCAAAACAGTGCCATCAGGTGGAGACCAAGTGTTCATACTGTGATGGACGGTTCACATCCAAATCCTAACATACATGCATAAACACACATCGGCAATTGCTTCCTTTATGAAATAAAACAACAACCATCAATGTATCATGGCAGTGAATGTACAAACTGTCTCTGCAGGCTAGTTTCCATTCAACCATAAGTTAGTTCCCCAGCATTGGAGAGCTCTCTTGAAGTATTTCCAGGCCACCTTCTGTGGTCCTGACCATGAGTCCCTTCCAGGACTAATCACCAGCCAGTCAGTGTAATATGTGGCTGTATTCCTTTGTGTGTTCTTTCCTGGATGTGGAATAAGCCTTCTCTACACTGTGAAGATGTGCTGCTCTCTTTGTTAATAGAAAAACAAAACAAAACCTAACCAGGCAATAGCTGGGCAGGATTTTCAGGGCAAAGTAAATTCTGGGAAGAAGGGTGGAGTCAGGGAGTAGCCAGCCAGATGCAGAAGAAGAGATGTTGTGCTGAGATAAAAGTACCACTGCATGGTAGAGCATAGATATGTGGGTTAATTTAAATTATAAGAGTTAGTATCAAGCCTAAGCTATCGGCTGAGCACTTATAATTAATAATAAGTCTCAGTGTGGCTATCTGGGAGTTGGCTTGCAGGACAGAGCTGACTGCTGGGACACAGAGAAACTCTGCCTACATTTCCTCATTCAACCATACAAACTAGGGCACACTTTTTTTTTTTTTGTCTCCTCCCATCTGTACCTGCTAAGTCCATGTCTGTGTATTCATGTGTGCAGAGAGAGCATTAGCCAATCACCATGCAGGGGACAAAGACTCAGCCCAGTCTATTATTTAAACTACAAACTTATATAAAAGGCATTTTTGGAAAATCCCAAGAATAATTCAACCCCTGCAACAATGTATGTATATGGAGTGTGTTTTAAATCTCAAGGCTTTTAAATTCAGGACACCCCCAGTGAGGACATATTTTACACTAATTGATGACATAAAGTTACCTCACTTGTATCGTGTAAGACTCTCTAGGTTTGAGATATGGAAACAATTCTAGCTACTGCATGAGCAGAGGAGTCTATCATACAACATGAGACTTTTTCCTTAGGCTGGGCATCAGGGCTTCTGGAAGGGTAAAATGGAGGACCAGAACACTGGTGGCCCCTCTACTGTTTGTGTCTCCACTTCTCATCTCTGTGATAGCCATAACAACTTGAGAGATCCTGCTGTACCCATTCATTTTTGCCCTCTGAGCAACTAACATGTCTTTCCAGAGTTGAGCTTAAAAAAATCTCTAAAGAGAATTGGATTGGCCCAGGTAGTGGTCCAACACTGTTCAACAGGCTACAACGGTGAGGTCAGATGGTCATGGCCTCTAGAAGTTCACTCTGTAGACTGAGGCAGGTTTCAGAGAAGCAACTCTGATCAGGATACTTGAATAGGTCAGTACCAGAAGATATCCAAGGAAGCATCTTTAATGATGTTGGAGAGGACATGAAGTCAACATTGAACATTAAAGGACTTTACACCAACTTTAGTATTTAAAATATATTTTCTATGTGCTGAGTATTTTGCCTGCATGTATAGTTTGTACTACATGCACGGCTGGTGCCTAACTATGGCCAGGTGTTGTGTCCCCTGGAGGTAATTATAGACAGCAGTGAACCACCATGTGGATGCCGGGAACCAAACCCCTGTCCTCTGGAAGAGCAGCAAGTGCTCTCAACCACTAAGCCTTCTCTCTAGTCCCAAGTTTAATTTGTAAAAGATAATCTCTAGGGAGAATACACTCAGCTTTCATCAGTATTAATGGTGTTCCCAATAACAACCATTACTTTAGTATATGCACAAATATTTCCATATATACAAAATAACCTGTTTTAAAAATACACGTTACTGTATTAACATGAGTTAACAATATAAACCACTTAGATGTTAGGAGGTGTGGAGTTACAGATTGACATCTGATTAAACAAAATGTGATTGTTAATAAAAACTGACAAATTCTGAGCCTAAACTTTCACAAAAAAACAAAAAACAAAACAAAACAAAACAAAACAAAAACAGCCTTGAATCACTCATCTAAGTAACACTAAATTAAAAGAAACAAATTTGCCAGACTCGGAAAAAATATTTCTTACAGGTTTTATTCTTACAGTTTGCAGGAAAAAAAAAAACCTTTCTTCATATAGATTGGTTTAAATTTTTTTGTTTCTTAATTCTGCTAAATATAAAATTATACAAGGGGAAAAGCAAGAGAAGAGGGGTCCCAGTACCTAAGTAGATTAAGATTTATAGTAAAGTATAGCTTAAAATACAATGTAGACTACCCCAAGTCCCATTAAAATCACACATCTTCTCAGTGATTCTAATTCTCATACATACTATTTTTTGTTATTTATTGTTTAAAGTAACAACCATTGTATTTTTGTTTTTTTAGTCATAGAAGAAATGCATGCTGACTATGAAAAAGACACATGGTATTTAATGTTTGGCTACCAATCACACATTCTTCAAAGGACTGACTTGTAACATTTTAATATGTAATTTCATTTAAAAAGTTATGAGCAAAGATATGTATGTTGCATAAGAAAAATTTAAGTGATTATATTTTCAAGCCTGAACATAATTTTTAATTGTTTTAGAAACTCATACAGGGATTGACTGTTTTTATTTTGTTCCGTTTTTCTAAGACAGATTTTCTCTGTGTAGCCCTGGAACTTTCTGTGTACATCAGGCTGGTCTCGAACTCACAGAGATCCTCCTGGCCCTGCCTCCCAAGTGCTGGGAGTAAAGGGTGCTCCATCACCACCAGACTTTTTTACTTTTCTGTAAGGAGATACAATTTCTCAAAAAGGGAGCCAATTCCCCAGGCTTTATGTCTTTCTTCAAAAGCATCAACCTCCTCAAGGCAGCGGATGCTGCATTTTGAACCTGAAGTAAGAAAGTAACAAGTTAGAACATTGTGAAGGACATCTGGGATGCTCTAGAAATGCTCTCGAGGAGTCTGTGGCTAAAAATCTTCACCGTGTGTGTGTGTGTGTGTGTGTGTGTGTGTGTGTGTGTGTGTGTGTACTATGAAGTGGCTGTTACACACTCCCTTCATGATGATGGTTGGCATCTTATGTATCACTCTCTGTGGTGATACATTATTTTTCATGTTACAACTCTCTATCTTTTAGACAGGATCTCTCACTAATCCCAGAGCTCATAACGGGCCAGCTCTGGAATCTTCCTGTGCCCCCTTCACTGCAGCTGCTAGGGTCACAGTCATGAGCGACCAGCCCTGGCTTTCATGTGGGTGCTGGGATCCAATAGAAATTCTTCATCTTGCATGCCAGGCACTTCACAGACTATGTTATCTTCCCAGTCCTCCCCCTCCTGTTTTCTGAGACTTGGGCCTCTTGTAAACTAAGCTGGCCTTGAATTCATTATGTAGCTAAGGATGGCCTTGGTCCTCCAACACCTGTCTCCCAAATACTAGCACTACAGGTGGTGTCTTTTTTTTTTTTTTTATAAAGCACATGGATTAAAAAGGCACCTTATGGAAACTTGTCCCTTTTCTAGGATAAAACAGTCTTCTATAACTTGTATATACTTTAATTGCATGTACTAATAGATCACTAGCAACTGCACAGTTAACTGTTTTCTTTCTTGGTTTATTTTTATTTAATTCTATTTTTCAGACAGGCTTTTCTCTTTGGTCCAGATTCAGACTGGCCTGGAACTTTCTTTTCTCTTGATTCAGTTACCTGAGATCTGGGATTACAGTTGTGTCCACCATGCTTGAATTACTGACTTTATTTTAAAAGAACATAATTGGGGCTGGGAGACAGCTTAGCAGTTAAAGCAATTACCTCTCTGGCAGAAGACCCAAGTTATCACAACTGCCTATTCCTCCAATTCCTGGGCTCTGATGTCTCTGGCCTCTAAATACATGTGCATATACCCATACAGACACATATACATGCATATATATAATTAAAATAATAAAAATACATCTTTTTAAAAAAGCACACCATTCCTTTAATCCTAGCACTCAGGAGGTAGAGGCAGGTGGATCTCTGTGAGTTCAAGGCCAGCCTGGTCTATAGTGTGAGTTCTAGGACAGCCAGAGCTACACAAAGAAATGCTCTCTCAAACACACACACACACACACACACACACACACACACACACACACACGGTAGGGTGCCTGCCACCGCCACCTGCCTGATAACTTGAGTCAATCCTCCAAACCCACACAATGGAAGGAGAGAACTGACTTTCTGCAAGTTTGTCCTGTGACCACCACCACCTCTCTCTCTCTCTCTCTCTCTCTCTCTCTCTCTCTCTCACACACACACACACACACACACACACACACGTATACATATAAAAAAGGAATTTTAACTTACCAAATAACCTTTTAAGTTCAGCATCTGGAACATAAAATGGTGGACCTAAGGAAAAAGAAGGATGGTGAACAATAGTTTATCATTCCAACTCTAATTCAGAAAACAAACAAATTCTTGGGGTTCACCTCTCAGTGATGCTATGGATACTTATTTTATAAACTACTCAGGAATCCAGAGAGGTAAGGATATAGCATGCCTTTCTAGTGTGTGTGTGTGTGTGAAAGACAGGGTCTTAAGTAGTTCAGGCTGGCCTCAAACTAACTATGTAGCTAAGGATGACTTTGAACTTGGGACTCCCTGCCTCTATCTCCTAAGTACTGAGATTACAGACATGCATTGCCATATATGGTTTACAAAGTGCTAGGGATCAGAGTCTTCCTGCATGCTAGGCAAGCACTGGACCAACTGAGCAACATCCCTGCCACACCCCCACCTGACTTCTGAATATTCCATATCAAAGATCAGAGTGGAGCCCATTGACAGGTCCCTCTGGGGTGTCCTTCTCTTTCTAGCCACACAATGCCCATAGCAGGGCAACCACATTTCTTCCTTCTACTCTAGGGCTCTTGAGATACCTCTTTACATTAGGATCATCCATTTCCCCCTTCTACAGTTTGAACTATGACTGACGAGCAAAACAGGAAAGGACTAAGAGAACATAGGCAGTATGGAAGAGCACAAAGGTATACTGTTCTCACTGGCCCAGAATTATCTTCATGCATATAAGCAGTGCACAGCCTATGAGATAAGATGGGAAAAAGTGATCCTCACATGTACATAGAATTAAACCAGGAAAGTAGGCAAACAAACAAACAAAAACACACGTTACCTGCATGTTTTGTTGGATCATAAGAAAGGATAGCCACAAGGTATTGAAACCCTTTTCTCAGTAGAGACAGTATTATATCTGCATAGCTAGAAAGAACACAAAAAAGTATGTTTCTTTTCTCTATACAGACAGAGGCAATGAAGGAAGCCAGCATTTACTATATATTACTATCTGCAGTGAAATTCTTCTAGTAACCATATAAACCTGTGTGGTGGTTTGAATGAGAATGTCTCCCCACCATGGACTCACGGATTTGAATACTTGTCCCCAGTTGGTGGAATTATTTGGGAAGCATTAGGAGGTGTGGCCTTGTTGGAGGAGGTGTGTCATGGGGGATGGGCTTTGAGGTTCCATTCCAGGCACAGGTAGGTCCTCTCTCTCTCTCTCTCTCCCTCTCTCTTTCTGCAGATCAGGATGTGAGCTCTCAGCTACTGCTCCAGTGCTATGCCTGTCTACCTGCTGCTATGCTCCTCACCATGATGGTCACAGACTAAGCCTCTGAAGCTGTAAGGCAGCCCCCAATTAAACGCTTTCTTTTATAAGCTGCCTCACTCATGGTGTCTTGTCACAGCAACAGAACAGTGGATCAGATGGTCTGGTCTTTGCGTCCCCACTACATTCACTATGTAGCCAAGGTTGACCTTGAACTTCTGATCCTCCTGCCTCCACTTCCTAAGTGCTGGGATTATAGCCATGCAACACCACATACGTTTATGGCACGCTGAGGGTGGGAACATGGGCTTTTGCACTATTGTTTTAGACATGTGTGGATGTTTTATCTGCATGGAGGATGTCTGTGTACCACCACATACATGCAGCTATGCAGGGGTTCTTCTTTTAAAGATTTGTTATTTTAATTATGTATAATTTTGTGTCTGTTTGGGGAAGGGTGTATGTTCACATGAGCGCTGGTGTCCAGGGAGGCAGGAGGCTCTGAGCCCCCTGGAGCTGGAGTTATGGGCAATGGTCAGCCTGCTGACATGGGTGCTGGACAAATTATGTCATTTCCAAAGCTGGGAAATGGTAAAGAGAAGAATGAAGTTGCACCCTTCTCCCAGGGTAGGTCAGACATGAAGACACCACAGGACACACAGAAGCTGATAGGGTCCTAAGGGGCCTGGTTGACCTTGTCGGAATGCTTCTTGAAGGATCACTGGTCTACTGTGTGCTCAGGGGTAGGGGCTCCCAGGGCAGGATGGGTATCAGAAACATCAAGGCGCATGTTAGAAGGAAAGATAAAGCTTGAGTTCCGCCCACAGACTGACTCAGTAGGTTTGCTGTTGGGCTGGGATGGTTAACAAGTATCCCACGTGACTAGGACATCCCTAGAGGCATACATATGAGGAGGGACAGAGCAGAATCCCTTTCATCTGGTTTGACAGAGAGGTGAGACTAGCTTGCAGGTAAGTTTGAGGTGACAGACAATCAAAGTTCTATAAATACGGCATTAACGACCAGTTCTGTGGATGGCCTGTTAGTGGGTGCCCCAAAGACTGAGTGACACAGCTTTCCAGCCATGTGTTGGCTCAGAAGTGGTTGTGACTATGATAAAGCACTAGGCTGATGGCTCCACTTACACGCCAAGTAATTAGAGAGAGGGACTGAAGGTCAGCCATGGTTGTTATGGTCAAAGCTGCGGCATTCAGCATTCGTGCTGAGTGATGCCGAGTCTTGTCAGTGAGGCAGATGTGGTGGAAGAGAATGGCAGAAGCATGCTATGGGCGATCCATACCCACAATCGTAGCAGCTGGGAGGCTGAGGCAGGAGCACCTGAAATTCCAGGTCAGCCTGGGGTACATATGAGTTTGAGGATACCTGAGACTAGCTTCAAAATTAAAAAAGTAAAAATACAAAAAGAAAGAATAAAGTAATCTTTTGATCAGAATCCTTCACTTTTTAACTTTCTGACACCCCCACCCACAATGTAGTCTATAATCCAGACTGGCCAGGAACTCACCATGTAGTTTAGGCTGGCATCAGATTGATAGCAATCCTCCTACCTGAGCCTCTTAAGTGCTAGGATTACAGGTGTGAGCCGCCACAGCTAGTGTGACTCTTGTTTTTAAGAAGTGGTGAGATGAAACTTGTCCCTAGGATAGTGATCCATCAGAGTGACTCAGCCATGTCTCCTGGAACTCACAGCCATCAATTCCCTTGGAATGTGAACTTTCAATCAATAAAAAAAAAAAAAAAAAAAAAAAAAAAAAAAAAAAAAAAGGCGGGAGAGGGAGGAGCCCCTCCCCCATTCTGGGCAGCCATAACAGCAGGCTGGAGAGATGCTCAGTGAGAGCACAAACTGCTCACATTGGTTGGTCACAACCGCCTGCATCTTCAGCTCCAGGGTATCTAATGCCTTCTTCTGACCTCCATGGCCATCTACCATGTGTGCATACACATATACACGTGTACGTGCACATCCACACAAATGCAAAAGAATTTAAAATCTCAAAGAAATTAATTCTGGGCTGGAGAGATGGCTCAGAGGTTAAGAGCACTGACTGCTCTTCCAGAGGTCCTGAGTTCAATCCCAGCAACCACATGGTGGCTCGCAACCATCTGTAATGAGATCTGGTGCCTTCTTCTGGTGTGCAGATATACATGGAAGCAGAATGTTGTATACATAATAAATAAATAAAAAGCATAAAAAAAAGAAATTAATTCTGATAACAATATCCAACATGCTCTTGAGTGTGTTTACCTGTGACCATAGACACACACATGCAGAGAGAGGGTGGGGCAGGAAGAGATAGAGCAGGAGAACAGGATGACTCTCTGGCCAAGCTAAAACTTGATTCCCTAAGGAAGCTTCCCCTTGAGTGTCACTTGCCTTGTTAGCCATGAACAAAGAGGGTCAGAGTTCACTAGGGTGACCTTTGCAGCTAAGGACAGAGGACGTGATGCTGCAAGGACAGAGGAGCAAAGGCAAGAAACAGTGCGTTTGTCTTGCCTGACACACAACCTGTCTTTCTGCCTTTAGTCACAGTGATTACAGAGACCTTACCTGCACTAAATGTGAATCAAGTCCAATATTGATGGAACAGCGGAGCCCAGTGGACTGCTTTCCCTTGGGTCTGAACTCAACATCCTGCTCTCCCCCTGACAGCCTGTGGATTTTTATAGAGCAAACCCAAACCCATGGAGGGACTAACCCCAAAGAAACAGGGAACATCCTGGAGAGGGCGCAGGGAATTGCTACAAACATGCCTTCTGCAGAACTGAGTGTGCCCCACAAACACAGGGTGTTATGAAGATGCAGGAGTTTGCGGTGATGCTTGGAGAGGATGAAGGGCAAACACCATGTGTGGGATGCGGAGCATGCACTCGAGTGTGAGGTGGGTGTCTGGAAGAGCTGGGTGACAGAAGAGCTGTCACAGCAAAAGCCACCACGCCCACCTTCCCAGCACCTCGCAAAGCTTACATCTAAGAATCCAATGGGAACACAATGAATGGCTACTGGGAATCTGAATGTAAGGAACAGAATTCACCTGGTCATTCAGGAGCAAGCATTGCAGAGAAAAACACGGATGAGGATGCAGGGTGGGGCGGGATGTAGGTAGGAAAAATGAGAGGAGGAGAGTGAAGAGAGAGAGACAGAATTATCAGTGAAGAAAAGAAATTATGTATATTTCTGGTGTGGAATGTTACAATTTTCAATGATTAGGTCTGGTAATAGTCTTACAAATAAAACAACTGATTTTTTCTGGGGGGAGGAGGATTTTGAGACAGGGTCTCTCTGTGGCTTTGGAGGCTGTCCTGGAACTAGCTCTTGTGGACCAGGCTGGTCTCGAACTCACAGAGATCTGCCTGCCTCTGCCTTCCGAGTGATGGGACTAAAGGTGTGCGCCACCACTGCCTGGCTGATTTAATGTATTACTGACATGGAGTTTGAACTTTGTGGCCATGTGTGAAGAGACTGCCTCTGTGTAATGAGTAATTCAGTATATAACCTGCCAAATTCAAGGAGACACATGTGTGGCATTATTTATACATGGGTTCTTAATTTTACTTTCTAGTAAGGCCAGGTATAAACATGATCACCCAAAGTATCAACAAGTGCTTTTGTAACAACAGTCAGTATTTTATAGTTCTTTGAAGTTAATGACACATTTCTCAGATTTCATTACTCTTTTATTTAGGAGACATAGTCTCAGGGTCTCATTATGGCCCAGGTTCATCTCAGACTCCCAAGTGCAGGGATTACAGTTGAGTGCTGCCACACCTGGCTGACAGATTTCTTTTCTTTCAATTCCCACAACTCCTGAGGTCATGTGATGTGGAGCTCTGACCAAACTCGGCAGGTTAGACTCTCAACTGCCATGTGCTAGCTGTCTGACTTGGGACATAGCTCTTCGACCTTAAATTTCTCATGTGCAAATGAGAATTGGAATCAAAATAGCATCTATGTCATAGGGCTGTCAGGCTAGTTGAATGTGTTAGCACACACTGAATATTCCAAACAATGCCTGGCACAGGACAAGAGTCCCAACAGCTGTCAGCAACAGTGATGGTGCTAGCAGAAATAGTCTCAGGTTGCAGAGCAGTAAACTGGGACTTAGAGAACTACAGCACTTTGGTCAAGGCGACAGAGTTTGCAAAGTGGCCAAACCACTGGTCATACATACTCCAGCTTTCCTCAAACCCAGATAAACAACAAGAAAATCAAAGCAACTGAAAAAACCAACTCACCGCTCACGGTCACCTGGATTGATGGCCACTAATGACCCTCTATCCCAAATCCTGTCAAACTTGCCAATATTTGCTCTGCTCAAAAGAGAGGGAAAAGGCTATTACATTTTGTCTGAAGAAAGGTCAAATCTCAAACAAGAGATCTAGTGTTCCCCAGAGGACGTGTTGGGACCTCACCTATCATCAAGGTATCAGGGTCTCATGTTGGCTTTTCTTTATAGACTTTAGAGGGGTGTACTGACCCAGTATGGGGACTGTCCCTTCTAACTCCTGCAGAGACCTCCTCGTTTTTCTGTGACTGGGGAAAGGAGGGAGGGCAGAGGGCAGTTGTAGCAAGCTTTTTTCGTCAGCCATCAGCTCACAAATAAAGACATGGAAACTTATTATTTATTATGAAAGCTTAGGCTTGTCTCAACCAGCTCCTATAACTTAAATTAACTCATTTGTATTAATTTACATTCTGCCATGTGGTATTAGCGCTCTTCCATCTGGCACCTCCTGTTTCCTTTCTAGGTCTCGCTGGTGACTCTGCCTTTCTTCTTCCCAGAGTTCTCTCTCTGCCTTGAAGTCCCACCTATACCTCCTGCTTAGCTAATGGCCATTTAGCTTTTTATTACACCGACCAGAGCAATACATCTTCACACAGTGTACAAATATCCCACAACAGGCAGTGAGTGACAACTCTGCTTCCTGCCCCCAGCTCATGCATCAGGCTCTGTCAGTTACTATATTGCCTCCTGAACCTTGTAATTCGTTTGGTTACAGGCTCAGGTGTCAGGGAGAAGACTCCGTCTTCCTCTCCCCACCTTTACCTGCTCCAGATTGTCATAATGATTTTGAAAGTTTGGGAGCTATCCCCATGAAGTGGAAAGATGGAGCTTTAGTAAGAACAACTGCAGGACAATAATTCTCATTGCTGCATAAGTGAACAGGAGTGGTGAACAGATCCCACACCCCACCCCAGCATTGCCTAACAAGGCCTACCCTCATTGTTACTATTAATATTATTTTGTGGTGTGTGTGTGTGTGTATGTGTGTGTGTGTGTGTGTGTGTGTGTGTTTGTGTGTTCACACACACGCAAGCACACACATACTAAGGTGTGCATTCGAAGGTCAGAGGACAATGTTCAGGAGTTACTTCTCTCCTTCTACCATGGGTTTTGGGAACTGAACTTAGGTCATCAGGCTTGTATGACAAGCATCTTTACCCTCTGAGCCATCCTGCTGGACCATGGCCACCTGCCCCCACACTTATTTTTAAGGCAGCATGTCACCATACAGCCCTGGCTGGCCTGGAACTTGCTATCTAGACCAGGTTGGCCTCCAACTCACAGAGATCTGCCTGTTTAAGCACTGTGTTAGACGTGTGCCACCATCCCTTTTTAAAGGAACAAATGGATGGCTCAGTGGGTAAAGCACTTACCACAGAAGCACAAGGACATGAGTTCGGACAGCCAGAACCCATGTAAAAGCAAGACATGGCTGTAATACCAGTGCTCCTATGGGGAGATGGGAGGTGGAGTCAGGAGAATCCCCACAAGTGTGAAGGCCGGCTAATCTGGAGTACACAGTGGCCATGAAATCCTGTCTCAAACAGGTGGTAGACAAGGACTGGCATCTAAGGTTGTCCCCTTTCATCCACTCATGCCACAGCATGCACACACCCAAACATATACTCACACTCACATACAAAATGGCACAGATAGAGCACTCAGTCACACAGATAAACACGCTAACGTTCACACACACACGTGTGCTCACACACATTTACACACATACTTACACATCCCACTCACACTTTCACACACATTCACTCTTTCATACTCACACACTCACATTTACATACACACACTCATTCACTCTCTGGAACACACATATTCACACAATGGTGCAAAGGGATTACACAGTCACACCCACACTCACTCATACACTCATGTGACAGTGCAGACAGAGCACTCAGTCCTACCTGGGAAGATCAAAAATGCTGCAGCAGTACAGTGAAATATTCCCTGAAGAACTCTGTAATGAAACAATATAAAACATTTTTCATTCTTAGCTAGGAAATTTTCAAATGGTCAAAGAAAGGAAAACAGGGCTCAGACAAAGCCAAGGAGATAGAAGGAATGCACACTAAACATAATAACTTTATTGGAGTTTAACTGTACCATGTTTTCTTTTAAAACCTGGATGGGAGCCAGCCAGATGGCTCAGAGAGTACGGCTGAAGCCAAGCCTGACAACATGGGTTTAATCCCTGGCCCTACATGATGGAAGGAGAGAACTGACTCCCACAAACTATACTTTAACCTCTCCCTGTGCACCGTGAGAGATATGAATATATATATTCTAACATCTATATATCTATTCCTAATATCAATTTAGCTATTATTATCATCTATGTATCGAACTATCATCTATATGTTTAGCCCTATTCTATCATTTATCTTTACTATTTATCTATCATCATTTGCTTTGAGACAAAAGTCTCACTCTGTAGCCTAGCCTAGCCTTGAAGTCATGATCCTCCTGGCTCCACCCTCTGAGTGCTGAGCTGCCATCCGTACGATGAAACCAAAGCTGCAGCTCACCACAGTAGATAACATGTATGTGATCAGTGGAAAAGAACAGCCAATTGACATTTGTTTAACATCTTAAGTACTCATGGGGGGAAAAAGTCATTTTCTGTCAAGGCATGGGAATAATTAGTTACCACAATGGATACAAACCTTAAACACTTTGGCGCCAGGGATTTCATTGAATGGTTCCTCTGTATATGGAAGATTCTGCTCTGCGAAAAATTCCCGAATCCCAATTTCACTGATCTCTACACCAACTACAGTGTGGCCCCGCTCTGCAAACCTGCAGAAAAACACAGTTCCATTTCAGCTCTGCTTCACATACAGCACCGGATAAAAACCACAGTGAACACGCAGCCCCTCTGGTTGGGAACAGTAACCAGTGTCCCTGCTGTGCCTGAGGTCCTGTGCTGAAAATGTATCACCAGAAGAAAGGAAATAACAAAAGAAAACAACTCTGTATCTTTTCCTTAATTTGAAGGGATTCATAGCTTCCCAGGCATTCCTATAAATGTGTCTGGCTAGAGGAAATGCTTGTCAGTCCTCCAAATCAGCACGGGCTACTGATCCATTCTCTGTGATGATGGATATGCCCATCTCTGTTCTGTAGCAAACAGAGCCCCTGGCCACAGTGGCTATTATGCATCTAGGATGTGGCCAGTCCCATAGAAATAATTTAAAATTTTTATTTGGCTTATATTTAAATAGGCAAGTCTGGCATGATGTTATACCACCAACTCCAGTACTGAGAAGGCTGAAGATCTTGAATCTGAGCCCACACTGGACTATACAGCAAGACTTTGTTTCAAAATTGGAAAAAATATCATTTAAATGAATTTTTAAAACTTGCCACATGTGACTAGTAGTTGCCATATTAGAATGCCAACTTGAGGTAATTTGTGCATTTTTGGTGACAATCCTATAATTTCCATTATTAACAATAAGCATGATTGGGAAAATGAATCTTATTACCATATCCAAATAGGTAACTTTTCTTAATAGGCTGTATAGATACAGATTTTTGAGGATCTTAAACAGTAGCAGAAATCTTACTCAGAAAGAAAACAATAGCAGGTACACAAATATTTAGACAAAGAAATGAATTTATATCAAACTACATAAAAACTAGTCATTTCTGCTATAATGCAATACAAGCTTAGCTAAATGTTACCGTGCTAAGCAGAGTTATGCACAGAAATCACAAGGCTGATGGCAAAGTGAGGGTTAATAAACAATGTGAAAACCTTTGTGAGCTGGGCATGGGGGCACAGGCTTGTAATCCCAGCACTTGAGAAATGGAGGCAAGAGGATCAGGAGTTCAAGGTCAGCCACAGCTATATAACGAGTTTGAGACTAGTTTCAGCTACAGGAGACCCTGTCTCAAAGACCCACAAGGGGGCTGGGGAAATAACACAGTGGCTAAGAGCACTTGCTGCTCTTGCAAGAAGACCCAAGGTCAGTTCCCAGCACCTGTATCAGGTGACTCACAATGGCCTGTAACTCCAGCTCCCGGGGATCTGATGCCCTTTCCTGACCTTCAAGGCCAATAGCACTCATGTGTACACACCAGCCAACAGATATTTAAATCTTTAAAAAACACAACAAAGCCAAAAACTAGGAATGAGGCAAGGGTTCAATGGGTAAAGTGCTTGCTACAGAAGCATGAGGACCTGAGTTCAGATCCCTAGGATCCATGGAGAGAGCCAGGCATGGCAGCCTGTACCTGCAATGCCAGTGCTGACAGGCAGAGACAAGAGGATCTCTGGGGCTGGCCTGTCAGCAGACTCCAGGTTCAGTGAGAGATCCTGTCTTTAAAAATAAGGTGGAGATCAATAAAGGAAGATTGATGGGGAATGTACTGTGTATGTTTATCTTATTGATTGTTAAATAAAATACTGTCTGGCCAATGAGACAGCAAGTTAGACGGGACTAGGAGTCAAAGAGGATTCTGGGAAATGTAATAGAGAAGTGGTGATCCAGGCAGGAAGTGACATAGCAAGGAGACTCAGATTTAAGCGAAGGAGAAACAGGAAGGGTCCCTTTTTCCCCTTGCTCCTCCTCCAGCAGCACAATGTGATCCACCGGCAAGGAGGGACGCCAATAAGGTGTCCGATAAGATAAGTCTTATAAAATATATAGGTTTATGATAGTTAAGACTGAGCTAACAGATGAGAATCCTAGTCATTGGCTAAGTAGCTTTGAACCTAATACAAGTTTCTGTGTATTCACTTGGGCCTAACTCAGGCGGGCGGCTGGTATAAAGCTCACCTGTGGCAGTGGGGCTCAGGCGGCTTTTGGCAGAAAGATTTATCGTAACAGAAAATGCCTCGTGTGGACTTTGGATTGTACACAGGTGTATCTGCACATATAAGTAAACACACACACACACACACACACACACACACACACACACATAGAGACCTGTGAGTGTTACAACTGGATAAATAGTAAAATGGGGCACTGCCTTCTGATGGAGTCCTGGAGTCAGTTTCAGAAGGTGGGTGTCTGAAAATGTTCTGTTTGAATTGCTGTGAGGTGATGGGATGAGGGAAACTGAACGGGCAGCTTCTAACACTAAGTGTACAGAGGGAAGACTGGGCCCAGGACTAAACTGTTGTAGCAGGGCACTGTTTGAGCAACACACGTGGATTTAGTCTGTTCAGATGCAGCTTAACTCACTATGGCAGAGGTTGGCTTTTAGCTGACATCTTGTGCAGACAAACCACAGGTGACCAAAGGAGAATGTCACACGATGTTCCAACCATCCTCTCATATATTAACTGTGAATGGAAGGCACATTTCCAGACAAGAACAAGATGGTCTGTGCCTATTATCTACACAAGAGTGCATGTTCCCAACTTGGGCAGAGCACTGGCTATTTATAGTTCTAAAAGGAAATGCACCAATAACTTGTCTTTCATACTGCCCAGAGAATTTGTACTCTAGCATATAGAGACTATTTCTTTCATTTTTCATACATGTCTTTGAAGTTCCAAAATATATGCAAAGGAGTTATCCATGTATTTTATTTCCCAGTCCACACATACAGCATTGCCTAGAATACAAATAAGGCAAAAGTGATTCCCTAAAATAACTTTCCTATTTCATTTTAACACTTTTTGGCCCCATTCCTAGTTAGTTCATCTGCTCATGCCCAATACCTATACATACATAGGTCAGTTATACAAGTGAAAATTTCTCTAATATGATAACTTACATGCAATTACAGTAGCTATTATTTCAATTTTTATTGTTTTGCAGATTTGGGGAATGAAGCCTGAGCCTTTGGATTCTAGGCAAGGATTCTCCCACTGAATTACATCCCCAAACCTCAATTTTTCTTTGTTGCAAATGGATTGAGACCCCCAAAATATCTAATAACCCCAAGCTAGCTAGCTATACAGTTTCAATAATGTTGCCTAAAATCTCTGCTCCAGCCACAGAATTATCATTTCTGTTTATAGAACTGTTTTCTCATAGGCAGTTTGCAAAGTCACTGTCTCCTTTGGTGAGAGCCCATTAAAGCATGGTCTAATAAGAAATGTAATTCTTAATTTCATGGCCACACTTGAATCTCAGGTTATAACAGCCATTTAAAAATTTTATTTGAGCCAGGCGTTGGTGGCACATGCCTTTAGTCCCAGCACTCAGGAGACAGAGGCAGGTGGATCTCTGTGAGTTCATTTTATTTATATGTATGTTTCTGTATGTATGGTGTGTATATGTGTGTATGTGTGTGTGAGTGTGTGCCCACAGAGGCCAGAAGGTGTTACTGGTGGTTGTGAGCCACCTGATATGGGTGCTGGAAATTGGACATGAGTCCTCTGAAAGAACAGCAAGTACTCTTAACTACAAAGCCATTTGTCTCGCCCCATTTAATATGACAGCCATTTAATATATGCTCTTAGCTACAAGTTGAGACAGTGTGGGCTGCAAAAATTTTACTCCCTCTACTGGAGAATAAAATCTGAATGCATGTTTTGTGGGTAGATCACTGGTATTTACATGGTGGGGGGGGGCAAGATGATTTTAAAGTAAGTCTATTTACTAACCTTTTCCACCAATCTTTTGTTCTTTCCAGCCTAATGATAGAAAGAAGTTCTCAACATTTATGTTTTTAAGCAAATACACATCTTGGAGGATGTGTTTGTGGCTATGCATTACCATGACTGCAGTGTTTTGTGCAAAAAAACAATTTCTGGGGTTGTGACTCAAGGTAACCCTGTAGTAATGGTGACTTGCTAACTAGAGTGAAATATTTCTGTAGAGGACTGCTTACAAGAGTTACTCTCCCTACCACTGGTTTTTATAACAGTGACTCACAAAAATGAAAAGTCCTATTTGTTTGTGAGAGAAAGGGAGAGTTGAGCTGAACTCTGGACTATAAACACTGCCTTGCTGAAAGCTTTATTACAGTTTGTGTTTTTCTGTTGCCTTCCATTTCAAACATCCATAGCTATTGAAATTTCTAAGCTACTATAGACATTAAATCACATACAAAGATCCAGGAGATATGAAAAAGGAGGCTAGTGTCCCCTTATTGTTGGTTCCAAATTAATTTACCCCTAATTGCCAACATCATAGGTATATACCACCACCCTTGTTTTAAGCAATGTCGGGGATGGAATACCCAAGGTCTCATGCCTGCTAGGCAAGTGCTCTACCAACTGTACTAAACCCTCAGGCCCCCCAAACTTTTTTTTCTTTCTTTTTTTGGCCTAGGAAACAAAATTCAGAAAGACAAGGTCATGCCTGACTCAGTTTGCACTCCTGTTGCTTGGAAATAGTATCTCTAATTCTATAACTATCACGGAGTCTGCTTAAAAATAAAGACACTCTTGTATTTGGGGATGGGATTTTGTTGTTGATCTTTGTATGTTTGTTGAACTGGCTTCTTGAGACAGGGTCTCACCTAGCCCAGCAGCCCTTGAACTTCCATGTAGCCAAGGCTGGCTTTGGATTCCTGGTCCTCTTGCTGCCACCTCCCAACTACTTTTATGGGTGTGTCCTGCCACACTTCATTCTGAGAATGTGTTGCTTGTTTTTAACCTATACATGTTTAACCTGTTAAATATTCACCCCAATTACTACTCTGCTACAACTAGTTAATCCTTACCATTTCATCTCAACCGCTTTTCCACAGAGGGGGAATAACACTCTCAGTCCACTCTGGCCTTTAAGAAATGTGTCCAAATGCTTCTTTAATAGCCTGGGGAGAAAAATAAAGTTTCCACAATGCTTGTTTTAACCAGCCCAATGCAAAGGAGCGGGGAGTAGAATTGATGAGACTAAGAACTTCTCATGCAGTATCTCAATGCACTGAAAAATGTAACGAGAATGTGATGTTACTTATTACAACCTCCAGTTTACACTTAAAGAAACAGGGCAGCTAAGGAACTTGTTTCATTACATAGCTACTTAGTATTAAATATGACTAACAACCTGAGTTTTCATGAACGGGAAGTAACTTCTTGTGCTTCCTTGAGTGATACATTTGGAAAAGTCTGTCCTCTTCATCACATTTATACTCTTATTTTTGTTGTGTCGAAAGTGACGCTAAGAAGGTGCTCTCTGGACATACACGTTTTCAATACTTCACAGAACAGCCTCTTCAGTGAGCTTAACTCTTTACATTTTTTTAATTAGTTCAAATCAGGAACAAGCTTGTTTCACATGTCAATCCCTTCTCCCTCTCCCTCTCCCTTCCCTTACCCACACCCCTCCTACCCCACCCCGTCCTACCCCCCACCCCATCCACCCTCCACTCCCCAGGGAGGGTAGGGCCCTCCACAGGGGCTCTGCAAAGTCCACCAAATCATCCTGGGTTAGGCCTAGGCCCTTTCCCATGTGTTCAGGCCAAGAGTGCATCCCTTCACGTGGGCTGGGCTCTCAAAGTCCCTTCTTACACCAGGGAAAAATACTAATCCACCACCAGGGGTCCCCTAGAGTGCAGAGGCCTCCTCATTGTCATCCATGTTCAGGGGTCTGGATCAGTCCTGTACTGGCCTCCCAGACAGCATCTGGGGTCGATGTTTAACTCTTTAAATTTTAATTAAATTAATTTAGTGTGTGTGTGTGTGTGTGTGTACATCTGTGTCATGGCACATGTCTGAAGGTCAGAGAACAACTTCCAAGAGTCAGTTATCACTTTCGATCCTGTGGCACTTAGGAACAGATACTGGTTGTTGGGGTTGGTGGCAAGTGGCTTCCTCTGCTGAGCCAGTTTGCTGGCCCTCACCCTTGCTTTTGAACATTTGGAAACAGAAGCTTAAATGCTGCTTTAGCATTTGCTGCATGGATAAGCAACATAACCAAAGCACGGGTGGTTTTTAAAAAGATGCATTTCATTAATCGAAGATGTCATCATCCGTTAGTCATAGCATATACAATGAAAGGAAAAAGTGCACTGCTAATTACAGTATGACATGCTATGGATGCTTTCTGATTTCTTGAGAGGCTGCATAACATGAGGTGATTACAGTGAAAATAAATCCAAAATGTATATTTGTATATTTAACTTTTAAAGTCAGTTTCTTTCTTTTTCCCTTTCATTTTCTTTTCTTCCTGAGACAAAGTCTCATGGAAACAAGCACTGGCCTCAAACTCACATATGTAGCTTCAACTTCTGATCCTCCTGCTCCCATTTCTCAAATGCTATTACAGGCATACACCACCATGCCCAATTTTGTTCAGTGCTGCAGATCAAACCAAGAGGGTCCTGCATGCTAACAAAGTTCTCTACACTGAGGCACACACCGTGGCACCACCCTACCTCAGTCAATTTCTGATAAACCATTTCTTTGTCAGAGACCAAACATGTCTTACTGATGTCCTTGTTCCTGGTGAAATCCAATGTTTCGGGTCACCCATTTACTTTCCCATTCTTCCAGGCTTAGTACCCGGTTCTTCTGCACTTCAGCGTCAAAGTGCTCTTTCACATCAAGTGGAGTTGTAGCATCCATAGTTTGTAGGCAACTATTTTGTCTCAGAGGCTGCTGTCTCCAGTGCCTAAATGCAAAAAAAAAAAAAAAAAAAAAAAAAAAAAAAAAAAAAAATTGCCATGATGTCATTCAGGAACTGTGATTCTATTGATGAACTATATAAAACCCTTTTACCTTTGCTTTTTAAAAATATAGCACATCAAAGCCAGGAGTGGTGTCATATGCCCCCAATACTTGGGAGACAGAGGCAAGAGGATTGTTGCAAATTCCAGGCCAGCTTGGTCTACATAGTGGATTCCAGGCCAGCCAAGCTACATAGCAGGACCCTGTTTCAAAAGCAAACAAGATAGGCATAGTGGCATATATCTTTAATCCTAGCACTAGGGAGGCAGAAGCAAGAGGCTCTCTGAGTTCAAGGCCAGTCTGGTTTACATAGTGAGTTCTAGGCTAGTCAGGGCTACAGTGAGACCTTGTATCAAAACAAACAAAAAACCAAAACCAGCCAAAAAAAACCCCAATTTTCAACATCCAATAAACCATACCAAAAATTAGATTTCAGTGAGTCTAGGACTAAGAACACTTCATTGTTATATATCAGGCAAGATGTCTTTAGAGAACAACCTACACCCCACCCTACAAGCTTGCAGATGTAATGAGGAGTAGAAACCTGGCTGTAATAAGGTAACAAAAAGAGCCTGCGATTTTACCCTCTTCTGAACCAGAAACTCAACCAACCAATGCCCTAATTTTACTCCTTCTCCCACTTCTGGGAGTATATTGTTAAAGTAGGAGGGTTCAGGGATTCTGAACTGCCAATAGTCATCCATTGGTTGGCTCCATGGCTAGATCAGAATTCAGCTTGTTGGACCTGTGAAGTCCTTTACCAGAAGTCCTCTGCTTTCTGGGTCCTTACCTGTCCTTCCTTTATTACGGTTGCTTCATTTAAAAAATGCTAACATATGATAGGACTTCAGGAGGGAGAAAAATATATATACATGGATTCAATGTATTATCTCTGCATTGTAAGTGTGTATTTTCAAGTAACTTTCTCATAGCTTTTGGAAGGGCACAGAAGATTGAACCTATGGGTTCATACATTCCAGACAAGTACTATGCCACTGAGTTATATCCCTGCTCCCATTTGCATGAGAGCATGCACAAGAAGGGAACCAAAGGGATAGGGGCTTTGTGTACCTGCAGTTGCACATTGACTATGTGAGAAGATGCCTGCCTTTCCAATATTAGGAGCAATAAAATACCACAATTCTGGGGCTAGAGAGATGGTTCAGTGGTTAAGAGCACTTGTTGTTCTTTCAAAGGTACAATTCCCAGAAACTGCATGGTGTCTCATGATGGTCTGTAACCCCAGTTCCAATCCATCTAGCAGGCGTGTATGCATGTGTCTAACGGCACACAGGTAAAACATTCGTTCATTCACATAAAGTAAAATAAATAAAACGATGTAAAAAAAAACTTTCCAGAATTCTGACCTGTCCTTTAAATCACTGGTGATCATATAACATGAATGCAATGCTTTTATTTGTGAAACAGCAGACATGTCACAAAAACAGCAATTTAAGGAAATGTCCTTTTGTTGCATGATTTAGATTCTGTGTTTAGGATTAAAGGACACCCATTAACTCTGGGCAGAGAAATGCACTTCACAGCAAATATTACTAACAACAGGCCTTTACCAGGCCCTGATGTCCCGGGGCAAAGCCCAGAATTGTGAAAGGTCAGCAGGAAGTGTGGGATTATTGTAGATACAGAAAAAGCAAGAGAATTGCTCTCTTTTCCCATCTCTTTTTTCTACCATCAGAAACTATGGTACCCAAAGTTGCCCTCAGAAAGAAGGGCTCTTCTGAACACAGAATAAAGCGTAATCTTTATCCTTCCCAGCTCTTTCCCTCTCACCGGTGAATCTGGGACTGAAAGTGTCATGAATACAATCACTTAGCTGTAGTAACAGCGCCTCAATGTGGTGTTCACTGTTCATTTCTGGAGAAATAAAATTCTGAACACAAAGTGCAAAGTACGAGTATGAGTAAAGAGGAATTCACAATAGTTTCCTCTCGTAAACATTCACTTCCCGGTATGCCCATTGGTCCAAGTCCTCCACACCTAAAAAACACTTGTTTCTGCTTTAGGATTTTTATTTTATTTTATTTTAAACAGAGGTCTGTCTGGAATTCACTATGTAGTCCGGGCTGATCTCTAACTCGCTGAGTTAGTTCCTCCTGCCTCAGTTCTCCCCTGCTGAGTTACAACATAACGCCTGGCTTCTGCTTTAGTGTTACTTTTAAATTTTGTTAAAACTACAAAGTAACTTCACTGAAGTCCACAGAGCTCCAGTGTGGCTCTGGGAAGTATTTTACACTTGGACATGTGTTATCTGAAACACACCTCTAAGCACCTAAGCACGGGGGGATACTTAATACAATGGACTCGCAGCATTTGCATCCTGATCTCTTCCCAGGTTTTGCGGCGCTTCCCGAAGCCCCTTTTCAGGACGCGGGTAGCCGTCGCCCACGCTTTTCACACACTGTAACAGGCTCACACAGTCTTAGCTAAACCACCGCCTTTCTCGCCCGCTGGGATCTTACCTCGGCTCTGCCCAGCCGCTTTCCTCAGACCCTAGCCGGCCCTTCTGCCTGCAAAAACCCGGGGCAGTGCAAGGACGCGTAGGCCCCGGGGCGGGGGCGAAGACCCCGCCCAATATGGACAGGCCACGCCCCGGAGACGACG